TATCAAGGGCTCAAGTAGAAAGCAAATGTTTTGAGAATGATGATGGCAACAAATGTACAAATGTGCTTGACACAATGGATGGATGTATGGATTGAGATAAGAGTTGTATGAGCCTCCAATAAAATGATTTTTAAAAAATTAAAGGTACAAAGAAAATAGGATCTGTGGAGACTTCAGAAAGTTCCTGGTAAAAAATCTCATATTTTCATTCTAATTTTTCAAGAACTTTTTGAAGCACGCCCCCCTCAGATATGAAAGTGCTTTCTCAATTGTAAAATGATATATACATTTGTTATGATTCAATACTTTAAAGAAGTGCAGAATTGGAGATCACTTTCAGAAAGTAAATGAACCTTGGTGGCACAGAGGCTAAAGTGCTCAGCTGCTACCTGTATAGTCAGTGAGCACCAGCAGTTCTACGGTAGAAGGATGTAGCTGATTGCTTCTGTACGGATTTACATATTAGAAGTCACACGGGGCAGTCCAACACTGCCTTTACAGAGTGGATATGAGTCAGAACCAACTTGATGGCAATGGGCTTGGTTTTAGCTAAGAAAGTAAACTTTTATGATATAATGTGATATTTATACTTCCACACTTTAAGTGTTCTTTCCTCTTAGCAAACCAAAGTTCAGATATGAACTTTTATTCCATTATGCATCTATTTCAAACCAGGTAAGTTCTATAAGTCTCTCATTTGTGTGAAGAGTTTGGATTTCTTATATCAAAATAAGACTTCTTAGTACTTGTAATTGCTGTTACGTGAACATCTGTTTGAAAAGAATGAATTCTGAAGGAAGAAAGGCTAAAATACAGTCAAATGTTCGATATAGAGTCAGCAATAGGATATAAGGTTTTTTGGGCTGGGCAAGAATTGTGAGAATGTAATGTTCTCATGTAACTAAGATATCTTACTCAACTGGACTTCAAGGTAGATAACCTAGGCCTATATAACCTAACTGGATGAAAAATTTTTAAAGGGCTTGATTCCTATTTCTGCTCTCTACCATAATGTTTTTCCCTGTCCTAGCTCCAGTCTACTAGGAAAGTCTTGTGGCATAGGATACACATTGAGCTGCTAACCACAAGGTCAGTGATTCAAACCTACTAGTCATGCTGCGGTAGAAAGCTGCGGTGGTCTGCTTCAGAAATATTTATAGGCTCAAAACCCTATAAAAGTTCACTGTAAGTCAGAAATGACTCGATGGCAGTGAGTTTGGCTTTTATTTTGAGTTCCATTTCGCACACTCATTCACCACAGGTACTGTTTGTGCTAACTTCTACAGGTTCCCACTAAACTGTAGCTAACTACTACATTATTAGAACCAGCAGCTAAAAAACTAATGTCTGATGGCTCGGATGATCAATTTAAATAAATATTAAAGTTTTAACAATAGGCATCGTACCATAGGGAGACAAAGAATACAGTTGGCAATAGGAAGACAGGGCATATGTACTTTGGAAATGTTGTCTGGAGAGCCCAGTCCCTGGAGAAGGACACCATGCTTAGTAAAGTAGTGGGGCACCAAAAGAGGAAGACCTTTGATGAGCTAGAGTGACACAGCGGTTGCATCGATGGGCTCAAACATAAGCACAACTGTGAGGACAGCACGGGACCAGGCAGTGTTTCAGTCTATGGTATACAGGGTTACCGTGAGTTGGGAACTGACTCAATGGCACCTAACAACAACAACAACAACAACAACAAACTTTCAGTTCCTTACAAAAAGTTTTAAGATTACCCAATGACATAGTAGAATGTTAAGGGGACAAAATTCTGCTTTTTCATATTTCCTTTGCCTCTCTGTCTTTTAGGAGACAAGACCACATGTACAGATAGGTCCGCCCCCACCATATACTATCATTTATTCTTTTGTGTATTTAAATCATTCTAAAAGAGAATGAGAATGACTTTAAAAGAATACTGAACCAGAGGAAAGTAAAAGGAAATACAGGAAAGAACGATGAGGCAAGGGGGACTAATATAGGTCTAAATATAGGCATATACATATGTAAATATATTTATATATAATGATAGGGAAATAAATCTATGTACATATATTTTGATGTTAAGTATTAAGGAAGCAGATGGGCATTGGGCCTCTACTCAAGTACTCCCTCAACACAAGAACACTTCGTTCTACTAACTTAGCATTCCGTGATGCTCACCTTCCCTGACACAATCGCTGAAGACAAAAGTGTGTGCATAAGGAAATGTGGTAAAGAAAGCTAATGGTGCCCGACTATCAAAGATAGAGCGTCTGGGGTCTTAAAAGCTTGAAGATAAACAAGCGGCCATCTAGCTGAGAACCAAGTCCACATGGAAGAAGCACACCAGCCTGTGTGATCATGAGGTGTCGATGGGATCAGGTATCAGGCAACAAAGAAGCAGAAGAAAAAAATCATAAAAAATGTGCATAGGATGAGTGTGGAGTGGAGACCCAAAGCCCATCTGTGGACAATTGGACATCCCCTCACAGAAGGGTCACAAGGAAGAGACAAGCCAGTCAGGGTGCAGTATAGCACCGATGAAACATACAACTTTGCTCTAGTTCTGTAATGCTTTCTCCCCCAAAACTATCATGACCCCAATTCTACCTTACAAATCTGGCTAGACCAGAGTATGTACATGGGTACAGATAGGAACTGGAAACACAGGGAATCCAGGACAGATAAAGCCCTCAGGACCAATATTGAGAGTAGCAATGCCAGGAGAGGAAGGGGATGGTCGGGGAGAAAGGAAGAACGGATCACAACGATCTATATACAATACCCTCCCGGGGAGGGGGGTGGGCAACAGAAAAGTGGGTGAAGGGAGATTTCGATCAGTGTAAGACATGAAAAAATAACAATAATTTAGAAATTATCAAAGGTTCATGAAGGAGGGGAGAGCGGGGAGGGAAGGGGGAAAAATGAGGAGCTGATACCAAGGGCTCAAGTAGAAAGAAAATGTTTTGAAAATGATGATGGCAACATATGTACAAATGTTCTTGACACAATGGATGGATGTATGGATTGTGATAAGAGCTGTATGAGCCCCCAATAAAATGATTTTTAAGAAAAAAAAGAATACTGAACCAATGTGAATGAAGGAGGGTGTAGAAAAGTATGCTGTTATCCAGTGCTTGAATTAACTCAAGTAAAGCACCAGGCGTGATTACATAGCATGACTGCTAACAAACAGGAATAGCACTGTTTATTTTGCTTCCTAAACAATTTGAATAATCAGGGACCTCTCAAGATGACATCTAATTCTAGGGCAATTAGAATGTTGGCATAGTATAAACTATTTTGGGGTATCATTGTCTCATCAAACTATATTGGTTTTGTCAACTTGAACTTTTTTAGTACTTGGTGTGCTGCGTGGAGAAATGGCTTACTTCCGGGCCTACTTACCTTGCATGTCTTCTTCTTCCCAGGACTCTTCATTTGCCAATAGTGGGTTCTGCGACTCATTCATAGATCTCATAGGAAAGAAGTGTCCATCACCAAGGCTAGTGGAGAGAAAGAAGGCAGTAAGCGATTTCAGCTGACACAGACTCCCCCGCCCCCATTTTATTGGGAGCTCTACAGATATCATAACAATCCACTGTTCAATTAGATCAAGCATGATTATTCAATTGTTGACACCATCATTTTCAAAACATTTTCTTTCTTCTTGCACTCTTTGGTATCAACTCCCCTTCAGCCCTCCTCCACCCCTGTTATTATATTAAATATTATTATTATTCTAACTCCTTTCCCCCTTACCCCTCGACCCCCCTATCTTATATTATCCAATGTATCTGTTCACCTGCCATTCTGTTATTCATTCCTTCTGAGTGGGGTTATATAGTCATCATTGCTATTAGTTCTCCCTTCCCCACTCCT